GCAAGAACCACAACTGCTAACATGACCGTAGATTGGTGACTTTTACACAGCATATCTAAGATAAAACTGTAAAAAGCAACTACAATACTACCACCAGAATATAAATCATACAATTAACAGCTATAACTGTTTTTTATGGGTGAAGGATTCTAAGCATGATAAATTATCATCTAAAGAAAAATACTGGTCCTTTCTCTACACAGCAAATTTCTTAATGATGCAGTTAAAAGAATTCTATTCTCTGAATTTAAATATTTCAGAGCACACCACAAAATATACAGGAACAGAGATGCACATGTTACTAAGGAGCTGCTTGGCCAAGTTTTTTCTTAAAATTTAATAAAACTATAGAAAAGAGAAGCAATTAGAAAAATGTGATTTCACTATCATTAATCCACATCAAAGGATTATAATGATGTACATTGTGTGCCTTTCAAATTATTCTCTATTATAAGTTTCACAACAAAAGTTGAGAAATCTCTTTGATTAACTAGTCCCTTATTAAAAAATCAAAGGAAAGTACTTTTCTTATCATCTGTGTAACATTAACACCTTCACCAAAGAATGATTATTTTATAAGAAGTATTTAGTTTTATTAAAAAACAACAGCAACACAGCTATTCAGGCCCTCATCTTCATCTATCATAAAATGTTACTGCACATATGAAACATTATATAATCACTCCAGAAAGACTGGCATCTCTCTCTAAATTGGAAAACTGTGAATCCATGAAAGCTTGATCAAAGCATTTTTTTTAATGTTACCAACACCAACAAGTTTCATAAAACTCAACCAGCACCTGCAAGGTCTAATTTAATATGATAAGGCTCAAGGGAAAATAAAAACTTTAAAATTTTACTCTATTAGTACAAAGAAGATTATGTTATAAAGAATAAGGTAAAATTATCCCTAAATGGCCATCAGAAAAATATGAAAGACAACCTCTTCTCTTTAATGTACACTGAACCAAGAAAAATCTGTTGGAAGCTCATTTAAGCAAGTATTACTATAAATCAGGCTTCTTTATCTTCAATATACCATACACTATGTCCATGATTTGACAAGTTCTTCCTAATTACCCACCTTAATTACAGTAATTATATATTTTATAGTAAATGCAAGTAACAAGGTTCATTTGGATGATAAATTGTGAACTACATGGTTTTTAAAAAGACAGAGAAAAAGTGAGAAATGTTTAACCATTCCACTTAATTCATCATCTTCAACACGTGATTTAACAGAATTATACAATTTTGGAGCTAGACCTTAAGATTCACTTAATCTAACACCCTTATCTTATAATGAGATCATTTTCATATAAAGAGGACTGACATCATTTGTTTGCAATTACTATCTCCTTTTAGCTGCTATATGGTATACCTTATTACCATTTCAGTTTTAAAAGTACTTACTAGATAAACTAACACAGAGGACTGCAGTAAATGTACCACCGAGATAAACTACAAGGAAATAAAGGAATATACTCCGAGAAAAAAAATCCCACATACTCCTAAAGTCCTCCCGGAATATACTGGCCTTTAAGTAGACAAACTTGTAATGATGCAATTTACATTAAAATTTTAAAAAGCTTTGTACATGGAATTAACATACCTGGATAGATACATTTCAGTTTAATTATACTATGGGTTTACTATCTATCAAAATAGCAAAAAAGGGTATTACATTATACAAAAGGAATCATGTAAACCAAAATATCAGAATTTATTTTAATATTATTTTACTTAACTTTAGTCTCTATGATATCAGTAATAGCACTGCCATTTTTCACCCAACTCAGTTCAACAAAAAGTTCTAACAAAAAATTGCACTAATTGGAAGAAAAAAATGGTCTTCAGTCTACTCACCTACAGGATGAGGGAATTAAAGATGATTCTCTATTCTCCTAAAATACTGGTTATGCTTTATCTGAAAGAGTGAAGTTCTGATTCATCTTAAAATAAGGTAATGTTGAAGACAGCATTATTAAGTTCTGTCGAGGACTGAAGGGATTATTACCTTTTCCTTTTGGTGCTGGCAATGGAACCCAGGGCCTTGCATTTCACTCATCAGAGTAAGGAAAATAAACACAAAATGCCTTCAGAAAAGGAATTACCATTAATTCTCTCTTCCAACTTCACCTACACTTAGATGAGACAATATTTTTGGCCTCAGATGTCATCTAGAACCTTGTTCTAAACTCAATTTTCCTAAACCTTTTTTAATAATGAAATATTAGAGCATTTCATATTGCATAGTCTATAAAATATGAAAATTATACCAATGACTCAAACGACTCAGTACAGTAAAATTTCTGGAAGAGTGGATCTTGTTCTTTTTTGTACCCCAAGGTCCCCAGGATCCCCATATGCCATAATTGAGGGCAATTAAGGTTGCATGGTCCTCGTCTCATTTTATCACTATTAAAAATGTCATTGTTACTTGTTATGGGTTAAACTGTTGTCCCTTACTTGTCCCCTAAGTTCTTTGTTGAGGACATATACCCTAGTGTCTTAGAATATAACCTTCATTGGAAACAGGTTCATTGTAGATGTAATTAGTTAAATTCAGCTGGGCACAGTGGTGTAAGCCTGTAATCCCAGTAGCTTGGGAGGCTGAGTCGTTCAAAGCCAGCCTCAGCAAGAGTAAGGTGATAAGCAACTCAATGAGACCCTGTCTCTAAATAAAATACAAAATAGGGCTGGAGATGTGGCTCAGTGGTTGAGTGTCCCTGAGTTCAATCCCCAGTACTCCAGGGGGAAAAAAAAAGGAAAGTTCTTTTCTTTCTTTTGGTACCAGAGATTGAATCCAAGGGTGCTGTACCAATGAGCTACATCTCCAATCCTTTTTATTTCTTATTTTGAAACAGGATCTCACTAAGTTGCCCAGGCTGGCCTCAAATTGTGATCCTCCCACCTCAGTCTCTTGAGTCAATGGGATTACTAGCAAGAGCCACCACATCTGACAAATGGGAAATTTGATAAACATTCATACAAGGAGAGCATCTTGTGAACAGGAAGACAGCCATTTCTGAGCCAAGGAGTCAATCCCAGAACAGATTCTCCCACACAGACTTCAAAGGTAACCAACTCTGCATATACCTTGATCTCATTCTCCTATCCTTGAGACAACCAGYTTCTCTTCTTTAAGTCATCCAGTCTGTCACACTTTGTTACAGTATCTCTAATAAATGGATATATTACTACACAGTAACTAGAAGAGTTTTGTCTAAGAGTCTCAAAGTATTTTCTAACAAAAGAAACTTGCTTGTTTGGTCTGTTTTCTGTAACTTTTGCTAAATACTTTATACATTTTTTAATGTTAAAAAACTGTGTCTCCTGCTAGCATCCCTCACCCCTGGTATGAATGTGTTTTATCCTTCCATCCTCTGGCTGCCTAGATCAGTAAATAAAATTGATGTAATATAATTTATAAGTAATACTGTTGACATTCTGATCCCAATGGAGGCTATACCCTGCCCCTCTTCAGCCCCTCCCCATGCCCTATAATAGCATCCATGTGTATTAAAACTGAAGAAGTAAATGTTTAAAGAGTTAAAAAAAAAAAAGTTCAAGATAAAACCCAAAATGTGAATACACAGCAAATTATCTTAACATATTACACACTCTTAAGAATCTTATGAAGCCACGTTCACACTAACATGAAATTTGTTCATATTGTACAATTGAATCAAGGGCTCACTGATCCTTCCTGACCAACTCCAAACACTGCTTAAGATGCACAGACCCTTGCCTGAGAATCCCTGCATCAATCCATAGTGCCTACAGGTGGGGGGCTATGGTGGGGGAGGCAAGATCATACACCAATCTTTCCAACTAGAAAATAAACACATCGAGCACATCTTTGAATAAGGAGAAAAAGAGCCCCAGAAAACTAATGACAAAACTTTTCCCCTCTATATTCTTAAAAGAGGTTTATAACTATAATATTATTTTTTTAAAGAGCACCTCAAAAAAAAAAATTGTGGACAACTATATCTGAAAATAAGAACTTTATCATCATAGCATATTTCATCATAAAAAATGAAGTCTAATACAATGATCCAGATAATGAGATGAAACTCGTCAAAGGTAGACTATGATTTAAATTCTTCTTAAAAGTATGAACATTACCTATTTAACTCATTTCTTTATTTTCTCCAATTTCACCTTTATTAACTGACAATAACATATCATGACAGAATTCAAAGATCAAAAGACTGAAAAACAGATATTTAATAATTTTATATGAACATTATCAATCATTAATGGCATCCTGCCAAGCAAGAAAAGGTTCTCCTATAAACACACACTAAAATGACATGATATGGTCAATAAAAAGATAACTCCAATATCCAATTATGAAGATTCAAAACACTTTCCTTTCTTTTCACAGCTAATTAGTTCTCAGTAGAAAGCCCAACGGAAAGATATATGGTTAATACACAGAGACTAAGAACAATTTGAAAAACATTAACCCCCATTTAAATAGAAAAGAAAATGAATATTAGATTTTTGCTCGTTCAAAATGTGTTCATCTAATTAATTCAGTCTAGAAAAGTGATCCTGTATTCTATCTTGCAAAAGTATATTTAAGTGAACTAGGCATTATTAAGGCCCAAATCACTATTCTATATATATTCCACAGAAATTATAACTGTAAAAAGCAGCCAATATGAAGTAGTAAAAAAAGTTGCTGGACTGACAATCAAATGGAATGGACTCTATCTTTCCTGCTTTTCTTACCAACTACATAAGTGACTGAAAGCAAGATCACTTAACCTTTCTGGACCTTGGTTTCCCATCTAAATCTAAATAAGGGATTTAGATTGATCATCTCTTATGTTTCCTATCAATTATCAAAATGATTCTCAAAAAAAACAAAAACAATAATCACTATAGATCATAAAGTCTGAAATGTCATTCATAATTTCTGGTAAGATGCTTTATGTGACTAATACCAATTCATTAGTTGATTAACCAAGGAAGAAGAGATTTCTCACCTGAAAGCGTATTGTTATGTAGCAAATTCCGAAGCTTACTACAAAGCTGGATCATGCTATCCAACTGTCTGTTGATCTTGACATCTAGTATCCAGGCTGGAGTGTAACACACTGGACATCCAGTTCCAACACAATCACTTACACAATCACTTAAATTAAAAAAATAAAGAAACATCAGAATTTGAACTCCAACAAAACAAAATAAAAAAAAACAGTGGATTTTGAGCAGAAGTAAACAGCAGAGGTTGTTCTAACATGTAACAGCCAATTTGTTCAATTGGTGTTTTAGATAGTTTCAAACACACATACACACACACAAAATCTAAATCTAAAGCTGTTGATGTAATTTGCTATGAGAGACTTGACTTTGACTGACAATGATCAGGCAAATAAATCTATAGCTGCTAAAGGATGAGGTAAAGGGAAGATGTAAATAAACAGATCCAGTATCTAAGTCAATGTAGCCATGCATCTCAACCTCTCCTATCCTAAAGCTGAACACTCTACTTCATGGAAATGCCTAAAACTAGTGCAAAGAGACTGGAAAAGTATCTTTAGTTTCATTTTTGGACAAGTATGTTAAGGCTTTAGTTTGTGAGAAAAGATATTTGGTTCTTTCAGATAAGTTAATCTGTAGATTCAATTACCTCAATTGTCTGAGTGTTACAGTCTCAACATTAGGATAAAAGTGTTTTTCTAACTTTTGGGATTACAAACCCTCTGGAAATTTTATGAACATAAATACAGATTCCCGTAAAAACTTTTAAAAAGAGTAATGGAGCTTGACAATGCCCCCTGAGGCATATTTTGGAACTCCAGAATCCTATAAATCTACTCCTTCTTTTGCCTCATCAAATAGGTGTTAGTTAACATGGGAGTATAATAACTGTAAAAGTCAGGTCTTCCCCAAGCACTATACTGCCATGTAACCCATTCATTTATAGGCACAAAGAATGACTACAATATGAACTATCCTTAGACAAAACCTGTGGTATTTCAATTTTTTTTTTTTTTTAGTCCTTGGTTCTTAGCATTATTTTTGACACAAAACACCTCCCCCCTCCACAAAAAAAAAAAAAAACTTTAAAAATGAATCTGTAACAACTATTCTGGAGCTGGAAGAGACCTTTGAGATAATCTAATTTAATAAATGCCCAAATTCTTTACCAAAGCAACTCCTTAAGTTTGTTTGCTTACACTGCTTAACTTGATCCTGGTACAGCAGTGTGGACTTGTAGTCCTAGATACTCAGGAGGCTAAGGCAGGAGTATCATTTGAGCCCAGTACCAGTCTGGGCTACATAGTGGACACTATCTCAAATCAGAACAGAAAAAAAAAAAAAAACAAATTTACAAAATAAAGAAAAAGAACTCTCTTGATCCCAACACACCCAGGCAATTTAAATAGATTTTTGTGTACAACATTTGAGGAATACCAGTAAAATACAATCTGAAATCCATTCCTTAAGAACCACTGCCATGTTTTCAGATGAAGCAAATGAGATCCAGTTAGTTAAGTCACTTTCCAACACTGCAATACTACTTAGAGCAGGCTATTTTATATTTTAAATACAGGTTAAGCATCCCTCATCTGAAACCAGAACTGTTTGGAACCAGAAGTGTTTCAGAGCTTGGAGTTTTAGGACTTTTGGAATATCTGTACAGACTTTATCAGTTTAACATGCCTAATATGAAAATCCAAAATTTTTTGAGAATCATGTCAGCACTCAAAAATTTTCACATTTCAGAGCATTCTGGGTATCAGATTTCTGGATTAGGAATGTTCAATAGTATTCTGTTTTATAACTTTCTCAAATTATTATATAAACATCAATCCAGAATTCTGAAAAATACATCATTTCTCAATAGATCTACTTAATGCAGTGAGCCAAAAGATCAATTCAAAGTATTGGAGAAACCAATGGAATTTAATGCAGACAGTCCAAAAACATATAGCTTCAGATTCTACTTGTCAAGTTTTGGTATAGTTTACCTAAAAGAGCTATTAAAACATGACTTTTTCCAACAACAACTATGCATAAGGTGAGATATTCCGTACACATTTGAATCAAAATGACACACATCAGAACAGAATAAAAACTATACCAAACATGAGAATCTAGTTGTCATCTATTAAGCAAGACATTAAAGAGATGTGCAAAAATGTATAATAATTGGATTATAAAATAGTTATTTTAAAAGTGTTATTTATGTTAGTACATAATGGGCTTATTGCTATTTTAAATGAATTATTATGTTTAAAAAAGTCTCCATTATATACAATCAATTCATACACAAACACACATACACACAAACAAAAGCTCTTTATGCTTCTCAATTTTGAAAAGTATAAAATGATCTGAGACCAAAAGTTTGATTATTCTTGTCACATGCCTTAAATTAATTATACCTTAAAGAGAGCACATGAAATACTTTATCAGGGATTGGCACAAGCATATAACCATCCCTCAATATTCACAGGGGATTGGTTACAGGACTTCTGCAGTCCCCTATACCCTGTGGATACCAAAATCTCTGAATGCTCCCGTTCCTTATATAAAATGGCATAATATTTGCATATAACCTATACACATTCTCCTGTATTCATTCTTTCTTCATGCTAAGTTGCTGAGTACTGACACTGGCCTGGAACTTGCACTCCTCCGCATGCCACCCACTCAGCTTTCCCATATACTTTAGATCATCTCTATTATTTGTAATACCTAATACAATGTAAATGTTATAAAATAGTCATTATTAAACTGTATTATTCAGGGAAAATGAAAAAAAAATCCTGTATATGTTTAATAGGAATGAAATTTTGTTTTAAATATTTTGATCTGTTTGATTGAATGTAGGAAAGAGAACTGTGGAGAGAGTCAGCCATACCTTGAAATTACCACAACACTTAATATTAAAATCTGTACCTCTTCACCCTGCCCTACCTCTATTTCAGTTGAATTATATCAAAATCATCTTTTAAAACTCACTGGTCATCAGTTTTATGAAACTTAAAAAATCTACAAAGAATCTAAACACCTGCCCTAATGCTTGGCATAATCTAATCACAACAAATCCTAACTGCACAGAATGGATTCTTTCATCTGTTCATGTTATATACACAGAATCATTTTCTCTTTCAAGATATTCTCATTTCTCTCTTAATCTTTTATTGGCCATTTTAAGTTACAGACCCCTTAGAATCTGATTAAAGGTATGGATTCTTTCTCCTCACACACATTTTACATATAATTTCATTATGTTCTACTAGTTTTGTTGGTGACCTATTGTACACAGTGAGCAAACCTATGGTGCATTAACTGAAACAAGATGTGCTGCTACAGAGTGGGGACAGGGAGTGGATGAATTCTTAAGGGGATCACAGAAGGTATTTTAGGAGGCAGTGACAGCTCAGCTGAAACATAGCTCATGAAAAGTCAGACTCAAGGTATATTCCACGTGGAAGAAATAACAAGTGCAAAAGCCCCGGGGCGAGTTTAGAGTGTTTAAGGAGAAAGTGGCTAGAATAATGTGAGTCACAGGGAAATGAGGTCCACAAGACAGGCAGGATTATAGTTCCTGTACAGCCTCTTGTGAACCTGCATACAGAGTTTGTATTTTATTCTAATTGTAATAGGAAGCCACTGAAGGATTTTAAGGAGGGCAATAATATGGATATGATTTACACATTTAAAAGAACACTTGACAAGAAAGTAGAAATGGCCAGGCACAGCACACCTATAATCCCAGTGACTTGGAAGGCTGAGACAGAAAGATCCCAAGTTGGAGGCAGGGTCCTGTCACAAAAAAATAAATAAATAAGTAGGGCTAGCAATGTAGCTAGGTGGTAAAGCAGCCCTGGGTTAGATCCCTAGTACTAAAAATAAATAAAGTAGAAAATGGAGAAGAGGTAATGATGCCAAAAAGGAAAATCCAGGTATGAAACTATTACAACAGTCTGGGGAGAAGGAAAACAAAAAAGATTTTCAGTGGCAAATATAGAAAAAAGTAGGAAAATTCATGATTCAGCGCACATTTTAAGGTGCAATTGATAGAAATTAATCATGTGGGATAAGGTGAATGAGTAATCAGGTATGAGTTGCGGTTTTCTGCCTTAAGCAAAGACAGTCTTCAATGAAGACTGCCCAGGCAGGAACAGGATGAAGGGAAGATTATCAAGAGATGTGCTGTGAACATAACAAGTTTGAAATGCGGTTTCATTATACAAATGGAGATATCAGGTTGGCAATAATACCATCTCCTAACCCCTCCTCCATACTGTATGTACCCTCAAGTAATATGGATTTATTTCTAGAAAGAAATAAAGCATACTGCCTCCCACATATCCTCAAATCACTGAATTCACATATTAAATTGTTTTCATACATACTCAAACTTCAGAATATAGTTTGTTCATGCCAGACAGTCACTCACATAACTAGAAATAATTAAAAGACTCATTCAAAGGAGCCTATATTATATGCTTAGGTCAAGACATTAAACTCTGCAACTAATTTCTCCTGACAAAGAAACAAAATGAGATAAAAATATAATCTTATAACCTATAAACCAGGGCCTTTCACATTATAACATGGATATGATTCCATACAATTATATGAACTGTGTTCCCTCAAAAGATGCTGAAGTCAACTCCCTAGTACCTGTGAATATGACATAGTTTGGAAACAAGGTCTTTGTAGATGATTAAGATGAAATTATTAGGGTGAGGCATAATCCCTAGAACTGGTATTCTTAGAAAAGGGTAAATGTGACCAGGGAGAGAAATATGCCATGCCAACAAGGGAGAATGCCAAGAACAGGAAAGCAAAGAAGGAAGAGAGAGATACATCTACAGGCCAAGAAACTGCAAAGATTGTGAGCAACCTTGAAGAAACAAGGAGGGGTCAAGAATAGACTCTGAGAACCTTCAGAAGGAATAAACTCTGTCAACACCTTGATCTTGTACTTTCAGCCTCCAGAACTCTGAAGACAATAAATTTCTATTGTTCTAAACCAATCCATTCTTGGTTCTGTGTTACAGCAGCCCCAGGAAACTGACACAAAAATTCTAAGAATTAGACTTTCATAATTTATAAGTCTAGATTTAAAAAAAGGGCATTTGAATTATATAAAAGACATTAATTCTTCCCCAAAAAGTAGCAAAGCAAAGGACTAAGCTTTGTGACTTTGGACAAGTTATACTCTTGGAGCTTAATCTTTATTTGTAAATTAAGTCAGTTATAAGGATCAATATGAGATTATACACAGTAAGTTGCTTTGCAGGCTATGAAAGTTACACAGACATGAAGTACCATTATCAACATGATTACACAATGGTTACCTATTTAAAAATATAGTTACATTATATATATATATATCAAGGCCTAATTACTTACCTACAGAAGATGTGCTCACACCCTCCTAAACACACGGGCTCCCTCAGAATATTAGTGCTGTTTGAACAAAGAAAAATAGTTAAGACTTAAGAAATTATGAACATTTCATGCCCAACTTTTATTTCATTAAAAACAAGGCCCAATACCACCACATTTTTCCTTTCACCAAATAGAAAGAAAATACTAAGAATAAATTCATTTAAAAAGCTTTTACTCCCCTAGTTAAATATGCTCATAGTATGACTGCTGAATTCAAATTGAAAACTATCAAAACCCAGTGCAAGTGGTAACATTTTTTATAATGTAAGTCAAAGGAATGACCCTGCTTAATCACCACTAAACCTCTAAACTTCTTGGTGATAAAACTAACCATTGGTATCTTCTTTCACCTAATAAGGTCCATCTTCACCAAACAATAAAAACAATATGGTAAAGACCACAAATCTCAAAATGTGACCCAATAATCACAATGACATAATGTATCATCCAACGGAGAAATTTCTTGACAATTAAATTTCTTGGGTGGTTGATAACTGTAACCAACAAATGCAACCTAGGACTGTTCCAAGAAAACTAGGACATATAGTCACCTTGACCATAAGAATCCACAGATTCATTCCCCTAAGCAAACATGTATTTCTTTTTTTAGAGAGAGAGAGAGAGAACGTTTTTAATATTTATTTTTTAGTTTTCGGTGGACACATCTTTATTTTTATGTGGTGCTGAGGATCGAACCCACCGCCCTGTGCATGCCAGGAGAGCGCGCTACCGCTTGACCCACATCCCCAGCCCCGCAAACATGTATTTCTGACAATTAAGTAGCCATCTATTTCTCACAGATGTCATGTCCAAAAAAAAAAAAAACAGTCACTCTCAATTCACAGCAAGTTGATTGCTTTGTTCTTTCAGCAACTGCAAACAGAAATCATCAAGCTGGCAGTCCATAGACTAAAAGATATTCACTTCATTTAGAGAAGACAGAAACAAAATATTCCCAATGTTGTCCGTCAAATACCTGCTAACTTTGATAGTGCTAAGAAGCCGCCGGTACTACCTAATAAACACACATCAAAAACACACATCACTACAGCCAGTGCATATTATGCGGCAGGAGCACCCAGAGAAGTAAGGCTGTGAATGGATGAACATTATGTGCACTAGGTTTATAACGCCAACCCCAGGATCTCCAGGTATTTATACTATCATTATTCAATTACCTTTGCACACATACCACATATCAATAAAAATAGTCCTGCCCATTTCTTGAAAGATCAAATGCAACACACTGCACATTTTAATAGATATAAACATTAAAGTGAAATTGAGCTTTCAGAAAGAACACAAAGAACTGAGTACACAGCCACAATATTATTTCTCAGGCTACTGAAAAGGGTGCTCACTGACATTATAAAACCCATTACTTTTTAAAAACTCACAATAACTGATTTTTCCTCCACACTACATAGAACATACAGATAAAAATATGACTTCTGTGATTCTGGCAATTAAGATCATCTTTTTTATACAATGTTCAAACTGCCCTAAAATTTTTGCTCATTATTTGACCTACGAAAACTAACCCCTTTTTTTCAATCGAGTGTGCTGAATTTTACTTCACTGTAAGCTTTGCCTCTTAAGATCTAAGTGTGATATTATCACACTTTCTCTTATCACAATACCCTTCCTCTTTCTCTTTAATTTCATCACCCTTGCCAATCCCAATTGCTCCCCACCTGAGAAGATTCTGTTCAGCCTAGTAGTTCCCTGCATTCCCTATCCAGCACAGGCTGCAGGTTTAACTCCTCAGAACCATTTTTACCAGTACTTTAATACCGCTGAGCTCTTCAACACTGATGAACACCAATCTCCAAAGCTAGACAAGTTAGAATCTATTTCTTCCTTGCCTGCTAAGGCTATGAAGAACCATGATAAAAAGATACACAAATTTATCCCTAAAAAACTGGCATCTTCTTCAACTTTGTATCTCACCAAAGTGATGTATTAGATGAATTAGATGATCCTTGAATAAACAAACCAATAGATACCCATTTAAAACAATCACCATGCTTCCAAACCTCCTTAACCTTACTGGACTCAATGGTATGAGCTTGTGACAACCTAGACACATTTCTATGACTTCACTAGTAATCTTCCCTTTCCCCAAGGTCTTCACTCATTCTTCCTTCTTCAGATGGAATACTTTGTCTCTAGCTTCCAAATCTTCCATGTGTCCTAAAGGAACTCATTATCATTAATTATGCTTCTTCTTTCACTCATACCTAAATATGCACAGGTAATCTCTCCCCCTACCTAAAAACCACTTCCTTTTGACTCTGCCTCCCATTCTACCTTCTGACCCAGCTCCTGCCAGTCTTGAACAAATAAAAGCTCTAAAGTAAGTGCTCTACACCAGCAGACTCCATCTCCTTCCCATTTTAGCTTTTCCTTAGCTGCTACTTTTCCTACCTCTGGATGTCAGCACACCCACCTCCATGCAGGCTCAGCCTCCTGGCTTTCTCTGTTGATTCTTCATTCAGTGCCTTGATTCTGCTTCCAAAACTTTAAATTGACTTCTTCAGATGAGTCTGAACCCTTTATCTATGGTTCTTACCCTTCACCCTAGCAATAAGATGCTATCATGTAATTAGCAGTGACTTAATATCTATGAATAACTGATCAGTAGAACTAATTATTCTAATTAGTGAGCTAGATGACTTTTTTGAGGTTGTTAATAGATGAGGGAAATATGAATGAAAAGCATATGCATATCTGTATGCTTGGGACCAGGCAGAGACTGGGTAGTGCCAATTCTCAATGGCGTTCAAGAGAAGATGATAGAGGGCAGACAATGCACAGAGGTGGCACCAATCTATACCAAAGCCAGGCTTTTTGAGAATGGCTAGGGCTTTTAGCTGAGAAGATGCCATGAAATAAAAGAACTTTTTTTTTTTTTTTTTACAACTAGGAGTTATTGACCAAAATTTTAAATGCAACCAACTTTATTTTTCTGCAGTGGTGGGGACTGGCCTTGTGCATGCTAGTGGTGGGGACTGGCCTTGAACACTCTAACACTGAGCTACAACCCCAGGCCAAATGTAATTCAACTAATTCCATCAGGAATTCATGTGTGTATTATTTTCACTTTTTAAAATTTTAACAGTAAGCCAGGCATGGCGGTGCACACCTGTAATCCCAGCTACTTAGGAGGTCCTGCAACTGGGACCCTGTCACAAAATAAAAAAATCAAGAGGGGCTGAGTGTATAATTCAGTGCACTCCTGGGTTCAATCTCCAGTACTGGGAAAAAATAATGTAACATTAAAATTTTCTTCATAATCACTAACACTCTACCCATGCCATCTTTTCTGTCACTGCTCCTTAACAAAAGTCCTACTCTGGTGAAACCAGTGTCTGCAACAATTCTCAAGTATCTTATGTTCAATTCCAGCCCCAGGAGTTGCCAACACATTACCCACTTAATAAAAATGATGCTAAACAAATAAGCACAGGAATTCTTGGGGTTTTGTTTCCATGCCATCATTTATGCAAAATTCGCATCAGACACCAGAGAAAAATAAAGATCATGAAGTTGACTATGTGTTGCTCTTTCCTAAGGAAATTGTAATCTAGCTGGATGGTTATAAAAACCAAATTAATATATGACTTGAGAGGAATAAAACATCATAAGGTTCCAAAAATATGAGCAATAGCATTCCATTCCATGTCATTATCAATTATCAACTAAGTTGTTGGGTTTTTGTTTGTTTTAATTTTAACTGATTCTCTATTTTCCTTATCTCCAAATAGATTATAGCCTTTCAGACAAGAAACCTTGAATTTCATTTATCTGAGCTCCCCAACCCAGCATTACCTGCCCAACACGGTGCTACATGAGAGCAAATTTCAGTAAATCCTTAATGAATAAACCAAATAGAAGACTACATACAAAAATGTATTTGTATTAGCAATTCCTTTTTATCCTTAATCTATTTTTCTGTTTTATATACATAAATATTAGAATAAAAAAATCCAGATGAGTAAGACTTTACTTGCATGAAACAGGATTTCTGTACCTTCAAAATTCAACTAAACTACTTTCTTCCCATCTTCAGTCATACTTCTATAACTTTTTAAAAGTTGATTTGGCTAGATCAGTGCARTCAGTGGATTATAATTTAGGGAAGAACTAAGTTGTGAGAACAAATAATTTTTTAAAAAAAGATCCTACTGATATAAAATTTTCCTTGAAAAGAAAAAAAGACTCAGTTTAGATTACAAGACTGAGAATTATTTTTTAACTGAATGGCTCCCTAAGTTCCTATAAGAAATCAAATGCTATTTAAAATTAGGCAGGACAACTACCTCAGTGCTCTTACATTTTAGAGAATCCCCAAAGTATTTTTAAGTCATGGACCAATGTGTTTTATATGAAAATGTACAGTCTCTCCAAACCAATCAAATAATTTGTTATATTTATCTTTAGGAGAATAAATACACAAAGTCTTTAGTAAGTATGGTGATGGATAATGACATGGAAGCATCTTGTTCAATATACTTATTTTTTACATATACTTATTTTTTTCTTTTCAAGTAAATCACATGGGAAAATTCAAAATCTTATCAAACTGTTTAATGTCAATAAATGTTGAATGATAGAGTCAAATATCCCAAAAGTCAAATGGGCAACAGAAGTCTGTCTTTTAACAGGAAATTAATATAAAATCTAATTACTATAGGAGAATCTACTATTTCAGTCTCAGAGAATACCATGTATGCCTGACTTAAACAGTATTGGCTATTCCATCTTTTATTCTCTTTTCTCCAAAGTAAAGCAATGTCTAAGTAACTGCTCTTCTTCCTGATCTTTTAAAGCCCCATCTCTTCCACCTGACATTCAAATATTAAGTGTACATGGCTCACACCTAGGCATTCCTCTCTTCTCTTCTCCCCCTTAGAAGTGGTCCTTCAATCAGCATTTATATGCATCAAACTTCCTGCTGCCATCCTAAAATCTCTCCTGAATCCAGACTTGCTTAACAATAACTTCACTTGTAAAGTCATTTCCTATGCTATGGGGGACAGTATAAAGGGTCATCAGCTGAGTGCAGTGGCTTGCACCGGAGTTCAGGAGTTTGAGACCAGCCTAGGGACCACATCAAGACCTATCTCAAAATAATTTGTTAAAAAAAAAAAAAAGTAAAAGAAAAATTTAAGAAAGGGTGTCCACATGTCTTGTATGTTTCTCCAGCAGTCATGCTATGTAGGTGTTCACCCATTACAGAACTGTGGGTATGGTGGATTTAGCTCTAACTCCCAAAAGAAAGACCTAGATCTACAAATGCCCTGAGGCCTAAGTCTCCGCTCAGTGTGAGTAATTAACCCCAGAAACCTCAGAAGGATTCCTGCAGATTCAGGTGAATTAACTAGGTCATTCTGGTATTACCATTTTGTAACTGTGATCCTACCTGATCTAAATTTTTTCATGATTTAAGAAACACTAAAAAACTACATGTCTGGCACTGTGGCAAAAAATGTAAACCTGTCTTTATGAAATATTTAGTATAATCGAAGGAGACAAACATCAATCAAAATATCACATAAATAAATAAATCCCACAAAACATTAAATTCAAATTTGGAGGATATGATGCAAACTGAACACCAACAATGTGTGTGCTCCTTTTTTGTGTACATTAATATTTTTTTAGTTGTTAATGGACCTTTATTTTAATTTATTTTCAGTGCTGAGAAACAAACCCAGTGCCTCCCACATGCTAGGCAAATGCTCCACCACTGAGCTACAACCCCAGCCCTACATTAAATTTTGATAAAAAGTTTTACCAATATTTTACACCCAATAACACTAATAATTACGAAACCTGCAAAGTGCAGACAGGTTTTAAAGGTAGCTAGTCCCTGTTCTTCATATTATAGAGAAAGACAACAGAGTCCAGGAAAGCTATGTGAATTGTTTTCTGTAGGAAATTAACTACATGAACAAATGGAACAATCTGTATCAATCTGATCCTGTCTTAGCTTCATTTATCCTACAATTCTTTTTAGCACACTGTCATTTGTTAATAATCCTCCCTCTCATTATTAGAAATGGCTCCATTTATAGAAATCTATCCATACCTCAAAGACTAATTCAGAAGTCCATGAAGCTTTCCTGCACTGGACCCCCACCCAAAGTATGCTTCTCCACATCCCCTTGGCCTTCATCACAATATACCCTGAACTGTGTGTACATTTTACCCCTTAAAATTAAGTATACATCCTGTAAGGGTATAAAATTCATCAATGCTAACTAATATACTGCTTCAGTGATTTCTTGTTATTCTAATGAATAACCAGCACCAGAGCAAACCAAGGGGAGCAATCATTCCATTAAAGGATCACTGGCCCATTAAGAATGCCTCTGAACATTCAAAACTCCTAAACAAAGATAAAAGCTGAATGCTGGAGTCAGGAAATCTATCCTTTATTTATGAGTATTAATTCATTTAATTCCCATAACAACCTGGCAAGGTAAAAACAATTACTAGCTCATTTTGCAGATAAAGAAAAGGAAGCATACAAAGATCAAATAACATGGCCAAAATCATTGAAGGATTTTAAATCAGAGAGTCTGATTCTAGAATCCATGCTCAAACAACCACTGAACTAGGCTGCCTCAAAATATAAAACAATACAAAATTAATTTTGATTGCCTTTTAAATGACAAGGGTGATTTGGGGGAGGGGGGACCCACCTACTCTAAGCTATAAAATCACATTTTAGCTTTTTATTAAAAAAAAATTGTAAAGCCCAATATAGCATTGGGGATGAAGTTCAGTGTTAAGAGTGCTTGCCTAGAGCACATGAGGCCCTAGGTTCAATCCCAGCACTGCAAAAAATAATAACAAAGGCCCAAAACACAATGGTCGTAAGTCCAAACCACCCTACCCACAATTTATGACAAGAGGTACTTAATTAATTCACAAAACTCCACCATATAACGCCTGGGGCTTTTATAGGGCAGCTCCTATTACTATTTCCTGCTTCCTGTAGAAATACATTATTACTATGCTCTCTGCCAGCCTCTCAATTGATAAGGTCTTCCTGCCTCATTTTTCCAAATCTTTAAATAGCTTCTATCTGGTTGTGAGACTTGGCCCTAACACAAATGTCACATCTGGCCTCTTGAACACTTTCATCAGCTTCACCTTAAAGCTATACTCATGTTAAAGGTCAAGAAAGGATGCCCTGTAATATAGCCAATTCACCCTCACCAGCAAGTAATGCTTGCTGCAAAACAGATCCAATGTGCTACACAAGACAGGTGACAGCTGGGAACACCAGATAGATGACAGCTGCAAGCTGAATGTGAGGGTAATCGGGGTAATCACTAGCCCACTGGATAGAACTTTGAAACTCTGTAAAAGGACATACTGACACAATTTCAAATAACATGACACTGCTTTGAATGGTGGCAAATGAAAGCAAGAAAGAAGCGGGCCACCCTGAGTCACTACCTTCCAGCAATAATGTCACACAGCTACTAGGGCAAAGACAGAGATAAGAAGAATATATTTTCCCCCTAAGGTAAGGTACAACAGGCCATCTTTGCTCACTATAAGTAGTTCCAAACTTTCAAGAGGGGAAAGCAAAATCACTTCTAAATATTAAGTGCCATGTGATATAAAATTTTAGATCAAAAAATTTTTATATTTAAAGATATTTTTCCTGTTAAAACTGAGATGGCAAACTATATTGCCTGTGGGCCAAATCAAGCCAGCAGCCTGTTTTCATACAACTCCCAAGCAAAGAATGGTATTCACATTTTTAAGGGATGTAAAAAAAACAAAAACAAGAATAGAAACAAGGGCTTCAAAGTCTAAAATATGTACTGACACTTTACAGAAAAAAACTGTGGAGCCTTATGAGAATATACACTCTAAAAAAGTTACAGTTCATCCACTGGTGGTTTATAATATTAAATTWAAAAAAAACGGAATTCAGTATTATTCTCTCACCAACTAGATGAGAGATATTAAAAAATCTGGGGCTMTCTCTCCCCCTGAAGATGGCCCACATTCTCCCTGGAGTGCGTATTCCTTGCTTTACCCCAAAGGCTTCTCCTTTTTATGAGATTTATTCATTCTCCCTTGAGTGTGTATCTACCTTCCTAAATAAACCTATGTTTAAAAAAAAAAAAAAAAATCTGGGCCTAGGTACTGATGGCTACCATCAGACCTTTGGCTCTTCCTGTTTAGTTCATTCAGAAGCAGAGACATCTTTTTGTACTTTTATGACACTTATTAGTTATCATTTACTCTATGATAATCACCACTCAACAATTTACATGTATAATTTCATCTATTTTCTCCCCTCTCCACACAGAATATAAGGTCTATAAAAGTTGTTTGTCTGCTTTGTTTATTACAAAGTCCCCAGAGCAGTATCTGGCACCTTGCAGGTGGTCAATAAAATTTATTATAATTATTATTAATAAATTCTTGCAGGAGAATGAGCTCATCATTACTTACACACAGAGAATGAACTTCTTGGCTCATTCAATAATGTCAAAGCTGGAACATGAACTCAGGCAGTCTACAGTCTAAGTAAGTGAAATGCTATGTTTCCATTCAGAAATTGGTCATCTAAATGTTTAACTTAGAGTACTGACTATTAGGGCGTGAACTACAACTGCTTCTATTATTGCTTCTACAACTGCTTCTATTATTGCAACTAGAAATGCTACTTTTAAATTTGTTATTCTCAGACGAATGACCCATATGTTTAGGGAAAACAAAGACACACAACTCAGAATATCCTCATATATTCATTCTAGCAAAAATGCCACTGTTCTTACGAGCCTAATGATGTCATTTTGTTAGATATAAAGTTTTTGTAAAACAAAATATTAAGTGCAAAATTTCTGTGACMGTTAAGTCGTTTTTATTTTTAAAGAAAAAAATATCTGTGCATGTAACACAGCAATAACTGAATTCTACAAGTTGGAAATCAAAGGGAAAAAAAATCAAAACGAAGTCCAAAAGGAAATACTGTTGTGACAGTTAAAAGCAGAAAGTATGCCAGGATGATCCTGATGCAGAAATACTCAACTGTGCATACAACAGTTGCTTAATAAATGCTTTTAAAGATATGAAAAAGCCCTTGTTGGAACTCACAAACCTTCTTGGATTCTATACTAGAAAGGGCTACAGGAAAAGCAGCAGCAAGAAACACCAGTCGTTTAAATGATGCCTTTGGAACGAATACGCAGTCTAAGAGGGGAGCTAGAAATGTGGCTCGGTGATACAGGATATCCCAGGCCTAATGATCCAACCAAGGAAAGGAAAATTAGAATAGTAGTGCCCATCACATCGTTATTGTCAATACGCCCCTAACAAGCGTCTCCAACACTCCACTCCATTCCCCTAAAGTTGTTATGAGGAAAATGTCCAAAAGGCCAGCTCAGCAAAGACTAACTACCCTTCAAACTTCAAGTTCCTCTATAGCGGCCCCAGCCCTGGGCATTCCGGGTTCAAGGGCGTCCCACCGTTCCCGGCACCATAAAACGCGCCAAAGCCTTAGCCCCACCCCAGCCCTACAGGTTCAAACCCCGGAGGTGGAGCCAGGGACCCACAATTTTGGCCACACCTCCAGGCACTTCTGCAGCCCGCTAAAGTTCCAGAACTACCCTTTTAGTTCGGTTTGGAGCAAGAGGCTGAAAAGCCGGCTGGAGAGGATGGGAATGGGGACCTGGGCGGGGACGACTAACGCCAGATCGCTGGGGCAGGACTAACTGCACGCCGGCCCGAAARCCGCACGGGAACCTCAGGAGGAAACGGGAAGTGGGAGAGGACCCTCGAGGGTCGACCATGCCCCGAGCCACTGCCCCAGCGGCCATCCCCTGGAGCCAGGCTCCGTCTTTACCAGCGCGAGCAGCGCAGCAGCTTCTCCAGGCGGTCGAGCGCGGCGCGGCTGTGGGCCCAGGCCCCGTCACCCGCCGGTTCCATGTCGGGCGCGGGGCGAGGCTCGTTCCCGGAGCGGACCCTCGGCTGCCGGCTGCGCGGCATCGCCTAGCTGTCGCGGGAAGGGCTCCTTGGGGGCCGAGGGGCCAGGCGGACTCSAGCAGCGTGGGGCACACTGCTGGCCCGGGAACCGACCCGGTCGACCCGTTCCCGYGTCTGGGCGGGCGGGACGCCGGGGGGGCGGAGCGGCCCAATCGCGCTGAAAGTCCCGGCGCGCGGGGCCAAGGGGCGGGGCCGCGAGGGCACGCTGCGGGCCGAGTGGGAGGGGCCACGGAGGCGCGCCTGGAGTTGGCGGGAAGTGGGGCCGGCCGCTGGGAGAGGCGGAGCCCAGGATCTCTGCCAGTCCACGGTTCTCTCGCCCAAATTTAACTCACTGAAAACCACCAATGGAGAAACTTTTCGTTGCCATTAACTATAAAGAGTGCCCCTTAGGACGGGAGGTGTCGCCTAGGTAGAGCGCTTGCCTAGCGTGGACTTGAAGCACTCTTGATTCCCAGCACCACAAAGAAAAAAAAAAGTTTTGCCAACTGTTGAACTTGGAAAAGCTTTGTGACAATGCAGATAGCACTCTCTTTTTCCCCAAAGAAACTAACTTTTTCTTTTCTCCCTCTCCCTACCCCAATGTGGAGTATAAGAGCCAATTAAAAACAAGGAAGGATTCTATCTCATTTTATTAAACTAATTGCAAAAATCTCTCCAAATGCATGTTTAAGAAGTTCTGGCTTACTTTACAATATGACAAAATTTCAAAAAGCATTTTGCTTATTAAAGAGTGTGTTTACCTTTTCCATAAGGGTCATGTTTTACAAATAACACCAATGGAGCACCTGTCCATTCTCCACCCCAATTCATCACCAAGTCCATGTTTTTTGTTTTTTTCCCCCAACCTTCTCTTTAATGCGCCCACTTCTGTGTCTCTTCTGCAGCCCCAGTTGTCTCATCCTCACATGTGCTGACATATAAAACTTCAACTGGCACCTGCTTGTCCACYAAGTTCCCTCCTATCCTAGGAAATATCTAAAATATTTCCAAATGCAAAATTCATCTTGGCACTTTATTCAAACTCTAAGGATATTTCCCTGCCCTTTGATTCACATGACCTATGATGCTTCTCAAAACATCCCCCACCTAATAGTGTCCCACCCCTACAGGACTTTCCTTCAAATAAGGACCTGGCTGCCTCTGGGTTTTTGCACAAAGATTCAGTTTGGAATCTGGACTTGTCCTCTTCCCCATGTTGACCAAGACTCATTCTACCCATCTCAGCTCCCAACACAGCCTTTCAGATGTTTTCCTGGTCACTCAACTAGATTCTTTCAAGTGCTTCCTATCATTATAATCTGCATACATAGATATATATATGAGTATATGTGTTTCCCCCTCCAGTCCAAACCCTCCGAAAGATTGGTTGTCTGACCTGATCCCCGGTTAGCAACAGCCTGTAACATGTAGTGCATGACTCTAAATAGGTCTTAAGGATTGGAATCACTGGACTACATTTACAGCAGGCCTGCTTTGCTCCACCATCACTACCACCACTGCCACCACCATAATACCTGCTTTAAGCCTCCAAGGAACACTATGAGTGAGTATTGTATCTGTTTTGAATTGAATATTTGGATTTACCTCAAATTTACATGTGTACATCCAGCCTCCAGAATTGTAAGAAATACATTTGTTTTGTTGAAGCCATCAAAACTATGGTATTTTGTTATAATAGCCCCAACCAAGATAGCATACTTGCCAGGCACAGCCTGTAATCCCAGCCAGGCTGAGGCAGAAGGATCACAAGTTTAAGCATCAGCAATTTAGTTAGACCCTCAGCAACTTAGCAAGACCCTATCTCAAAATAAAAAATAAAAATGACCAGAAATGTAGTGTAATGGTAAAGTGCCCTTGGATTCAATCCCCATGTCAGAAAGGAAGGAAGGAAGGAAGGAAGGAAGGAAGGAAAGAAGGAAGGAAGGAAGGAGGGGGCATCCTTTATAAGAGGATACAGGTGTAGCTCAGAGATATTAATTGATTTGAGGCAGAATTTTAACCCAGACTTTTTGATTTTCAACAGCTCCACTAAATTATGAAGGTTCAACAAGTTTAAGTGGCTGGATTGAAATCATCCAGTTGTTAGTGTAGGTTCAATGAACAAAACTAAATTAGGTCTTTTTTTTTTTTCCAGTACTAGGGATCAAACCCCAAGTCCACCCATATTATGGACAAGTGTTTCACCACTGAGCTATATTCCCAGCTCCTAAATTAGGTCTTACAAATGTTTTAACTAAACCTATGAATGTATATAAACTAGCCATGTTATGGTGAGATTGCAATAAATTTGAGTCAATTTTAAAGTAGGAGATGGAACCATCTTTATTCACCAGAGCTGGCAGGATGAGGGCAAGCTGCAAGCCTGCATTCTGTGACCCCTYCCAGGAATTAGAGCATAGCTTTTATAGTTTAAAACCACAAGTAAAGCCTATCAGTACATTAATCATAAGTGGCTGATGTCATGATTCAAAACCATAAATAAAAATCATGAGATCTAAAATCATAAGCAAAAGGGGAGGTGGGTCAAAAGGAACCTAATTGTGTAAAAAGTCAAAGAATGGTTACTAACTTCTAGACAAACATTAACATTCTATGTGGTTAGGGTACATTGCCCAAGAAAAATGATAACCAAAAAGGGAACAATTTTACATTGAATAAGAAGAACAGAAACATTTGCATTTCTAAGCAGGGTATGCTAAGCAGGCTCAAGATGGCAGAGGCAGAGTTTTCTCATGGGAGAAGCATTTCTTACATGACCTGGAGTTTCAAGGTAAAATGGAGTCTGTTTGGTCATTGCCCATATAGCCTGTCCCATAACAGCCAAATAACTTTTTAAAACTCAGAGGTACCTAAGAAGTTGTTCCTTGATTATTAACCCTGTTAAGCCATTGATTAGTCTTCTGGGAACTGGGAAAGTCAAGCTCTAGAAAATGTAAATGTTAAAACTTGAACAGACGCTATAGTGTTAATGGAGTAAACTGAGGATCTTGAGTCAGTCCCACTTCTGATCTCACATAAGGAACTATTTAAGTCAAATCTCAAGCTCTCTGAGCATTTAGTTTCTTTATCTGCAAAAGGGGGAGAATGATGCTTACCATGTAGATGTTTGAAATTACTAAGTGAGATTAAATATAAATCACCTATATCATAAATACTTAATAAATGGTATCTAATATGAAGATGATTTTGTGTGTCTGTGTATAATCAGTACCATTACTGCTTTGCTTACTAAAAAAAAATACCATGGAGTATTTTTATCAGATGCTTTTATATTTTTTTCAGACTCTTTTTTTTTAAAGTTAGGATACAATTGTGCAGAGCAAATTTAAAAATGACATTTTGGTAAAATACTTTGGGGGCCAGACAACTGTAATTGGCTTGTTTGTACAATACTATAAATCAGTTATTATACAGGTGCAATGAGTTCTTTCTCCTGTTAGTTTCCTGTTTTCCCTCCCTCTACATTGCCCTCTATCCTCTCCCCAAGGCTCATGGCATTCTTGACAACCATAGTAAACTCATAAAGACAACTAGCAAGGTTACTCTCCCACTGCAAATTCCTATCCCTTTTTCTTCCTTCAAGCCTTAGTCTGCTATAGCTCAAGTTGCTAGTGCTTTGCTTTCAGGGGAGATGGGTTGTGTTTTTGAACCAGTTAATCCCTTCAGCACTAGATCCTGAATTTCAAGAACCAATTCCTTCTCACTTGTCCATGTACTTTGTATGTAAACAATGAGCAATTGTTTTAGTCCAGTTTTTTGTTGCTGTGATCAAAAGACCCAACAAGAACAATTTTAGAGGAGGAAAAGCTTATTTGGGGGCTCAGGGTTTCAGTGGTCTTAGTCCATGAAGAGGCAACTCCATTCCTTAAGGTCTAGGATGAGGAAGAACATCAGGGCGGAAGACTGTGGCAGAGGAAAGCAGTTGAGAATATGGCACCAAGAAGCAGAGAGCTCTGTTCAACAAGGACCAAATATATACCCCAAAGATACACCTCCAGCAACCCAGCAGCTCCAGCCACACCCTACCTGCCTACAGTAACACCCAGTTAATTCTTATCAGTGGACTAATGCACCCAGTGGGTTGAGGCTGTCATAATCCAATTATTTCAATTCTAAGCTTTCTTGCATTGTCTTATACAGGAGCTTGTGGGAGACACCTAATATCTAAACCATAACAGCAACCCTTCCAAAAAAAAAAAAAAACAGCAACCCCCTTCCAGGTACACCACATTGTATGCAATCCTGGAATTCTGGAGTCGAGAAGTAGCTCAGAAATACAGCACATGCATGAATGCCTTAGGTTCAATTCATGACATCAACATATAAATAAATAAATAAAATCCTGAAATTCTTCTCCCAGAGGAAGAAAGTTCTGCAAAGAAATTCAATCCATCAATAAAGTCTTAGCACAGGCTCAGTTTACAGCATTAACAATATCTTCTCACTTTAAAAAAGGCTTAATGATATCTCTTACATTCCTTTCAGACTTTCTCTGCAAGGACTTCCTGTGTACATAAAAGTTTAGGTTTATTGCTCCGTCTCTCTCCTGGTCTGTTTTTTTCCACCTAAGCAGTAGCCCCAAGTGTGTTAGATTCAAAGTTATTCACCCTCCCCCAGAGTAACACTCTGGTCCTGGAGGATTCTCTCCATGCTTCCTCCCTCTTCCACATAGTGCTTCAATTATCCTCTGTAGTGCTGCTCTGCTACAAAGGCATCTCCAGCCTGAATCTCTTTCCTAATCTTCAGGCTCAATATTATGGTTTGTTGAAAACTGTCTCATCACTAATGTTTTTTCTTCTGTTGTATTGTGAAGGGTTTTACAAAGTAATAAATCTTTCTTGTATTCACTTGGCTAAGCCTATCTAACAAGAAAAATGGGATAATCGTAATACCCAGACACTCCTCCCAAGGAGCGTGAAGATATTTTACAAATTCCAGCCTTTATACTAATTCTTCTGGCTTTTCATTAGGGTATCATGCAATAAGATCAAGCACTTTGATACTTTTGAGTTCATCTTCTTTGTCAGATACAAATTTTGTTTGCAAGAACTTAAAGGGAATCTAGAGT